TTTTCTCTCACTCCAAGTCTGTGAATGACTCAGGCTGCATGCTGCACTGACTTTCCCTCTTCAAATCTGCTCCAGTTTCTGACATCTCTCTTGTGTGCTAATCCTGCTTCTCATGTTAAATCTTTGTCAGTGATCAAGGGCAGGCCTCACTGTGAACTTATTGCTTGTTTTTAACTATTTATTGGTATTTTCTTGCAAACTCAATTACTCTTTTCTCTGTTGAGTCACGAAACAAGTCCCTACTCAGGGCTTTCTGTTCAGAATTCAGAATTGTTTTCAGTGCTGCTTTACTTTCAATGGGCCACTATTTTTTCTTTTCCTTCCAATTTTGGTATTTAGTTATGGAATTAAATTAAATGAATCTTTAACAGATGAGATTTTTTGAAAACCAAACTGTTCCCTTACATAACTTTGCAGCTCACAATAACTTTTCAAGTTTATGGCTTTATTAAAATCATTTTTTTTACTGTTTATATTTTGGTGCTTTGTTTCTTTTAATCAAATAATTGAATAGATTAGAAAACCCTTTCCTGTCTTTTTAGTGTAAGACCAAGAATCTTTTGGAGGGATTTGTAGATCAATTTATTTTTTGAAAGATTTATTTTATTTATGCACACAAGAAATGGGGTACAAGTCAGAGGTGCAGGGATGTGTGTGTGTGAAAGGATTCACCAGAGACAGAGTGGAGAGCAAAACAGGCACATTTACTGAAACACACTGCTGAGGGGAGCAGCAGGTGGAACAGGAGAGGTCTGCCACATCATGTGGGTCATCTGCCTGCCTGGGGATCAAACTTGTGCTGCAGGGCTGTGGATAACTTCACAGTGCTTTGTTTTAACCCATTGCACCACCAGGGAAGGTCCTCAGTGTATAATTTATAGGTGTCTGTCTTCCTGTTGTAATAGAAAATGGTTCCTCTTCCAGATGCAGGTCATGTCATGGCTCATAAAGACACTCTTCTTAGGTTGGTGACCTCATCATTTAAGTCTAGTACATTTGAGGCTTTTTTTTGAAAATTCAGTTTTAGAAGTGTATTTTATGTTCTCATGATCCTATGCAATTTCAAAATATATGCATAGCAGACTATGACCCTGTCTTATTAGTTCCATTGAATTTATTATGCATATGGATTGGGAAGGCAAGAAAAAAAAAGGTTTAATTGTAGAATGTCCTTTATTTATTTTTTTTGAAGATTTATTTATGCATACAAGAGCTGGAACCGAGGCCAGGAGTAGAGGGGTGATTGACGGTGACAGTAGTCACCAGAGACAGAGTGGGGAGCAGAACAGGAAGACTGACTGAAATACACTGCTGAGGGGAGCAACAGGTGAAACAGGAGAGGTCTGCTATGCCATGTGGGTCAGCTCCCTGGCTGGGGATCAAACTAATGCAGTGACTGTGGATAGCTTCATTGTACTGAGACTTGACCACTTGTGTCATCAGGGCAACCCGCCCTTTTTATTTTAAATGATTTCATAGCTGAACATCAGTGTAATATTTAACCTTCTGCTGACTTTTATTAAGCTGCAGTAACATTCTCATAACCACAGTAATTAGTAAGCTATTTGTCGCTCTTATTGCACATACTTGCATCTGTAACTAGTTAGTTATGACAACTTCTGTTGCAAACACACTATCATTAGAGACCACGGGGATTTTAAGGATAGGCCTGGAAATGGACTGTATCACTCTAACTACCTGTTTATGTTCAAACTCTAGATTAATTGTTCTGGGCTCTCATTTGCCTTCTCAATCTATTCTCCACTCTTCTCTTCCCCCTCTATATCCTGAGAGGCTGTTATGTAGCGATTGAACCATTTAACATTCTTGCCCTTACAGTTGGGTTCAGAGGATGTGAGGTACTGTCAGGACACTAAATAGGAAGAGAAAAGTTGAACTATACAACCACACCCTTAACCTAGGCATATGTGAAGAATTTCTGGTAGTGGCTGCATTTTTCTAAAGCCACAGCTTTTGGTCAGCATTCCCTGTGCCATGGTGCAGCTCTTACTGGCTGCCTGTAACACTTTTCCTCCCTTCCTGGGCATCTTAACAGCTTCCTGCAGATAAAGCTCCTGGAAGTTTTGTATTCCTTATGGGTTTCCTAACCTTGCCCATTCTTCTATAAATTATCCCTTCCTGGGACTATGGTGATGACACACGGGTGAATTGGTGGTGGAAATTCCACAGGGGCTACACTTGAGATTAAAAAAAAAAAAAACATACATTGTACAAAAATGAAGAATATGGTAAAAATATATAAAATAATAATTAATAAAGCCCCATCCCTTTCTTACTCTCTTCATTTAAATTCCTCGAATGTGCCACTTGTTTCCTGTCAAAACCATGATACACCGTCAATGCATTCACTTTAATTCCATTTCAAATACCAACCAATGCAATATTTTGTGGGTGAATGAATGTTTGTTCTGTGAAAAGGGGTACAAGGGAACACTGTAGTCAAAAATTGAAATTTAGAATACAGTGATCTGAGTCACTTTATGCTTTCTCAGTAATTTTGTTCATCCGTTTCTTGGTGGCAAGAAAAACTTGAGATAGCTAATGTAGGTCACAGTACCTGGGAAATACGATAAAGTGATTTCACATATAGCTTTGGAAACTGTAGATAAGAGATTTAGTTTTGTTCCCACCCCCACCATGTAGCAGATGCTAAGTTCCTCAATGGTAAGAAATGCATCATCAGTAGCTCCAGTGGCTGTGGATAGCTTCACAGTGCTGTGCTTTAACCTGTTGTGCCAACAGAGAGGGCCCTATTTCTTTATTCTAAGTGGAAATGGACTACATTATACAACTGAACATGTAACACGTGATGAGGTTAGTGAAGGAAGAGTTCAGGAGAGGGAAGAAAAAAAGCTGTACATCTAGGTAGTGTTAGGATGCTAACTACATATCTCAGACAACTGGAGATGCACTGTGGACAGTACCCTCAGAACTTCCAGGCAAATTCCTCACCTCAGAGGGACTGGCTGAAATACTGACTTTGGGTCCCAAGTTGATTGGAAGGAGGAATTTGAAACTATTTTTGCTCAAGATGAAGAAATAATACTATATGCAAACCAGGTAATTGGAGGAAGGGATGAGAATGACATCACAGTACTAAGTAAGGCCCTTTCATGGAACTAAAATGTGCACATCCATGGCGGCATAATCATTAAAAAGCCGAGGCCAGCCATATGGCAAGAAGGATTAACAGTTGTGATGTCAGAGGTAACCATATCAAGTTCCTTAAATGAGCTACAATTTATTTTTTGCCAATATTTTTCTCTCTATAACACCTTTCCTTCCCTCTTTCAATTATTCTACCTGTTTTGTAACTCAGTTCAAATTTACTCTGGAACAAGAAGCCCAATAAAATTTAGACGGATGGTTCTTGTGTTACTAGCAAAATGGGACATACTTCTAGCCGACTGCTCAGCTGCTATTGCTCTACAACTTTACTCCTTAGAAGCATTGCAGGACATATGATTTTGCATCTGCAATTTAGCATAAGTGCTTAATAAATGTTGATTTACTAAACCCACAGCGTTCTAGTAGCATCCTCTGGAAGTAATTTAGACAGACCTCCTTACAGGTACTCAGGGGATGTGCTCTTTGACTTACCAAAGAGTTTTAGAGGGGAACTTAAAAAATGCCCACGATTAAAGAGAGGAAAGATGTAATATCTTGAGCTTTTGTGTGTGTGACAGAATAAGGAGTGATTTGATTAAAGTGCTTCTTAAAAGGTGCAGACGGTAATTCACAACAAAAACATTAGAATATGTATTTGATTTGTAATATCTAACTTACATATGTAAGTTAATGTTTAAATATGTAAGTATAAGTATGTATATATGATGTAATATGTAAATATGTTTAAATATCATATATTTTTGGGTAATGAAACAAGTATTTTTACACTGATGGCATAACTAGCGTCTTGAACAAAAGTTGCTTAAGAAACCGTATCAGAACATTAAAGAAACTTCACACACAACAACAATGTGTGGGTTTCCACTCGTCAAAAGTATCTGCCTTCTGTTCTCGGCAAATAAACCCAACTTGGCCAACAATCAGACAAAATTTCTTAAAACACGTAAAAAGCCCCTGCCTCGAAACGCCAAGAAGAGCCTGAGGCTGTGGGTCGAGCCCCTTTCTGGGGTGGAAATTAACAAACTCGCCCACTTCCAGTTGGGGGTCCGAAGGCGTCGAAGTCGCAGTGGGCGAGCAGAATCCCCCAGTCCCACAACATTCCAGGGGACTGCTCCAAGAACACCACCCGGCGCCCCG